ATTATTTAAAACAATTATTTCGTATTGTTCTTGAATCTTTTGTATCATTATATTATTATCATTTATTATGTATTTAAGTTTATATCAATATTATGAAACGTATTCTTTCAAGGCAAACGATACTCTATTGTTCCTATACATAAAATCAAAACATTATTTCACTTGTGTAAGAAGCAAATAAAGCAAACTTTAAGGCATAATAACTTTTAAGCATTATTAATGTCATTCAAGCAATATTCAACAGAAATCGTTATCTCACATTTCGCATCTGATTCAAAATGTTTTACATAAAATTAATTGCATCTTTTTGCAAGCATTAAAGAAAGTTATTTTATTATCAATATCATTATGAACTTACAACTAAATCGCATTAAGAATTACATGTAACACATAAATTTTTTATTTATTTTAATTTATTTCGCTGTTTTAAAGAGCACAATTTTTTCACAATTTTAACAGATGCAGTTTTTAAATCATAAGCTAAACCTAGATAAGCAAAAAAATCAATAAAAGCTGTAGCAATATTGAGCTTATAATTTCCAAGTTCCGCTGCTTTGTAATCCCAAGGGAAAACGTGATGATAATTGTGCCAGCCTTCGCCACACGATATAAAAGAGACAACTGCATTTTCGGTGGGGCTAATTGTTCTGTGATAAAATAAACATTTCTAAATAGTACCACAATATAATGCAATAAACAATTTATTAATTTTGAATGATAGTATGTATATGTTTTTATTAATTTTAAATAATAGTATGTGTATATGTTTACATATAATAAGTTGTACAGTATATAAGTACAATATATATAAATAAAATATGTACACACAAAAGTATGTACGTACTTATCATATGGTACCGATATTTGATGTTATTTTGCTGCTTTATCATACTGACATTAATACCTTGATGGGTATGGAGGAGAATCTGTGGTGTGCGTGGCATCTTAACATGACTAGATGTGTCATAAATTTACACACAATATTATCACTAAATTCCGCAGCTCACATGTGGGGTGTAAAACATTATTTTTACACCCCACATATGAGCTGCGGAATTTATTGATAATATTGTGTGTAAATTTATGACACATCTATTCATGTTAAGATGCCACGCACACCACAGATTCTCCTCCATACCCACCAAGATATTAATGTCGGTATGATAAAGCAGCAAAATAACATCAAATATCGGTACCATCTAAAAAAAGTATAAATAAAAGAAACAAAACCATTAAAGTTAAACAAATATACATATGTTAAACAATATATACATATATTTTTTAAATTAAATTTGCTCTTGCAGAATAAACTATGTCCGTCGTACTTTCTCTGAAAGACCACAAAACAATCTTGTTTAAGATCACTCAAGTCGATCATAGCACCCTTGCTGATGACGTCTGGATGTTTATGAACCAAAACCCAACCAATATGCGAAAAAAAGAATCCTTTACGTGCATTATATGGATCTGCATTAGTGTCGGTAAATTTATGGTGTAAAAAAACTCTGTGATCTCTTACCCATCCGTAAATGTGACCCTAAAATATAACTTATTAAAAATCGAATGATGATGTACGGAGGTTATAAAGAGGAGTACGGACTCGGCATCTTTACACGTATAAAATCTGCAGCAATAAAGTCGGGAAAAATAAGGGTCGACTATTTCATCACATGTGGCGCTTTGTTGCATTGCTTGGAATTTATTTATCAATTTATACCAATTTTATATATCAAGAGACACGGTAGTGTCTCGCGCCCTGTTACCGGAATAGCCGATACACCGTGTATCTTTACGCGAAGCGGAGAGTTGAGTCTACTATAAATTTCGAATGCTCAATAACGGCTGAAGCAATCGAGTTTATACTAGACTTAATTGATAGATTGGGTTCGAATTATATATCATTGATTTGCCGTTCCACATACGAAAAATTTGTAAAACCTTACAATTAATTCGGAAATTAGCTCATTTTTAGCGATAAACAGTACCCCATTAGATTTAATCGGATCGGTAGAAACAAAAATAAAATTTGAAAAATTTTCAAATATCCCGATAAACATTAAATTATATGTTTTAAACTGTGACTCGTTCTCTACGAATCTAGTAATAGGCAATTTTCTCATCGATAATAAAATCGAACTTATATACAAACCGTCCTTAAACGAAACAAAAGATAAACTACTTCTCCGAGAAGTAGCATCGATTGATAATATGGAGGCCCATTTGATAATTTAGAAGATATCCTCGTTAATATGGAAATCGATTTTGATGACTCAATTAAAAAACAACTAGTTTCTACTATTAAAAACATAGAAAATACACAAATTGATAGAATCCACGACGATTACTTCGTTAAAGTTTCACTTAAAAACGATTCCATTTACAATTATAGATCCAAACGTTTTGCAAATTTTGAAAGACAGCAAATCCGAAAATTAACTGACGATCTTTTAGCTAGAGGAATAATCAAAGAAAGTAAATCGCCTTACTGTGCTCGAATCGTCTTAATTAAAAAGAAAAACGGGTCATTTCGTCTTTGCATAGATCTTTGTCCCCTGAATGAACGAGTAGTGAGACAAAATTATTGTTTTCCATATATTGAAAACTGTTTATCCCGCCTCGAGGGAAAAAAAATTTTTACGTTATACTTGACTTCAAAGACGGGTTCCACAATTTTAAATTACATCCAGAATCTACTCAATATTTGAATTTTAGGCGCTCTGCGGTACGCAGTGTAGCTTACGTAAATTTGAATTTGGAACAAAAAAAATCACTTAATCTACATGATTTTAGCTAGAAAAATACGTAGGGGAATTTAGAAATATTGTTTTTAGCTTCAGTAGCTAACAGAATGTTAACATGACAGGTGAAAATTTCACGTTTCCGTTTCGGATTAATGTAATTGCGGAATAAGAATAACACTTGAAAAGGACCGCCACAATGTTGGTCGAAACGTAGTGTTCATTTACTTTTAATAAAAAAATTAGCCTGTTTTTGGTCAAAGTAATTTGTCTCAGTATTATTTTTAAATTGTCACTGGCGATCAACATTTATTTATGAATATTGTATTTTGTGTGATTGGCGAATATTTGAATAATTTTGTTCAATTTTCGACCAAAAACGGAACAGTTATTTGTTAATAAATAATTTTTAAATCAACTTATCAAAAATTCCCTACATATTTCTTTTCGAAATGTTTTTTTGAAGATATAGTGAAAAATTTGAATGAAAAGTATGAAAATTGTTCGAGTTATGCTGCGTGCCAATTTCAAAAATCGTATTTCGAGAAAAACGCGTTGATAGTTTTGAAATGTTATAGACATAAAAAAATGAAGAATTCTACTTTTAAAAAATTTTTACCATTAATCTGCAATCCCAGGACCATAAAGCTGCCCTTCTACGTTGGAATATTCCTCCTCAATCTCTTTTCTCGACAACAACAAATAAGTCCTTAGGCATTACCTTCTCAACAGGTATCCAACCAACGCAGGTAGTCGTTTCGAAGCAGCCCGGCGCGCTCAGTAAAGAGCTCGCAATTTCAAGAAAAAATTTTTAATGTATTAAACTTTTTCCCCATATTCTCCAAGGTTCAAAGAATTTTTTAAGCAAAAAAAATTATCGATTATTTGAAAATTTTACAGTAGTGTTACCCCTTAATTTTAATATTATTAGGATATTATTTAACTGTGTTGTTTAAAATTATAAAAGCCTTGCGAGAATGCTAAAGCAAGGTCACGAATATATTCGCCGCCGAGTTGTTATTCCGCGTATTTTCGATTCCGAGCGCGAGAAGTTGACAAAAACGCGCCTTTGTCTCGAGCCTTCGAGCCTCGCTAGCGAATTACGTTTCGGCACGCGCGTGCCACGCGTTCAAGCGAAGGATCGATCGGCTGCCGTTGCCGTCGATCCTGCGTATTTTGAAGAGAGGTCGGCCCAAAGAGCTCGGCGGAGAAAGATCATCTCAAGAGCTCGTTCGAGTTTTTCGCGAGCAAAGCCTAGATAGCGAATCAAGTTTACTTTCACTTTAATTATTTTGAATAAAGTCACTCATTTAACAAACCACGAGTAATTTATCCAGATCACATCCTTCCTAATCCGTACAAACAGTCGAACCAGTAATCAAATAAATGTTTTCCGTTCTGTGAGAAAAAAAATTAATCGAAGGTTTCTGCACAGAATTGAATGTGTAGTAGAAATAATAACGAGAGCGATGATCGAGCGAGAAAGGAATGTGAAAGTCGAAGAGAATAATAAGCGAACAATACGTGTTTACGCGAGACGTAGGAAAACGAGAGCCTGCGAGAAGGTAAGGGAAAAAGTCCTAAGTACGGACAACGAAAATGGGGAGTCTTCCTCGAGCCATCGCCGAAGTAAGATTGACTAAGAATATTGAACTACGAAATACTATATTATTGGACTCATTAAAATCTGATCTTTCTTGCTCCTTTTAGTCATCCTATATCATTTTATTCTTACAACTGCGTCCCAAGTTTTTTAACTAAAATTTTTTATTTTTTATTAGTTCATTATACGACTATATAGATTTGCAATTTGAATTTTCCATTGATACAAGTATCTATTTATACTTGGCGTAATTTTTTTTTTTTTATATTATTACTTTTGTAGTACGATTCTATATGGGTCTGCAATGGTTAAATTTTCATAGGATTCTACATGGGTTTGCAATAATTAATTTTTATAGGATTCTACATAGGTTTGCAATGATTAATTTTTCATAGACTTCTACATGGGTGTGCAATGCGTAAATTTTCACTACTGGTAAGCCCATACTAGGCGCCTTTTTTATTTTTTACAGATAAGTTTTTAGAGTTTTTCTGTCCGAATTCAAAGGCCGAGTTCGTACTCTTCCTACAATCTCCATAGATTGTTTATTGCGCTTTAAAAGAAACAAAATGTAAAACTTTAATCAATAGCCCATATATATAAGTGTGAGTCCTTTACTATACTTGAATATGAAAGAAAAAAGTTAAATTAAAACTTACTTGATAAGAAATAGTCTGGAAAATCATAAGAATAAGTCTCATCGGCCACTTTGCCTTATAAGACCGATGAAACCATAATCTATGAACGCCAGCAGTGGTTCCTATATTTGAAAATATACCAACAGCGAAGACTGTAAATTTACAAATAGTCATATTAAACATAAAATAAGCATGAAAGCCGAATGTTGGCACATTAGTTTCGATGAAATTAAAATCATCGATGGTGTGCTCAAGGCACTTTTTCGTTGATATGATACCACGAAAATAACTCTCAAATTGAGAATTGAACATTTTGATCAATTTACTTTTGAGAAATTTATCAAATTATTAATCCCCTATATTAATATGCATATATATGTATATATGTATATATCATATGAAATTCTTATAAAGTTTATTAATTCAAAATAAACGTTTACTAATAATTTACTATATTATTTCTATTAATGTGTGTAGTTATAAATATATTATGGAATAATAGGTTAAATAAATGAAATACGTACACCAGATGAAAGTCCAAAGTTTAATAGGATAAAAGGTGGTTAAGTATATTCCATAAAGGGCAGTAAAATGAATATATATGGCAATAATAACATTTGCCCAAATAATTTGCCATTCAATCTTATGTGGTTTTTTCACCAGTACTTCATCATTTACAATCTTTTCAAATTTCATTATAAAATTTTTTAAATGTAATTGGATGTTAAACTGTAAAAAAATATATATTTACAATTTGTAATAATAAAGTATAAACTATATTGTATACATATGTTACACAATACGAGTATTATGCACTTATAATAAGAACCCAGACAGCAAAACATATGCATTCTGTATTCATATTGTATTCATATTCTTACAAACATGATGACAAAAATCGACAGAGATGCAGGCTCATATGCTATTCAAAACACGGTCATATTTATCTTTAAAATTTTGCAAAAAATGTCAATATAAGTACATAAATAATACTCAAATTAATATTTTAGCTCACATTTTTCATCAAATGTATGTAACTTGTGCTTATGATACCTATTATTATAATATGCTTACAAGATATACAACACATTTCAATCTAAACCAGAAGATCATGACAATGCAATCTGATAATTAGGCATTGCTATCCGGGAATATAAAATATTATAATTTTGTCACATAATTTTACTGCCATTAATAATTCTGCAGTTATTATTTCATTTTTGTTCAAGATTATGCAATGCCTATTTAATATATAAAAAGGTACACGTATTTTTTTATACGTGCCCAATCGAAGATTTAGGGGGTGATTCACCCTTATAAAAAAATAAATTTTTTATTTTCCAAGGGAATAATATTATCTAAACAAAAAGAGATATAAAAAAATGTTTAAAACAAAAGTAATTCGGTTTTTTATGCACTTTATGCCTGTGCACTTCCAATTTTAAAAAATTAAAATTTTTTTGAAATCTTTCCCCGTCCAAGTATGAAAATTTATATATTTTTGTTATTAGCAAATTGTAGAAAATTTTATAACAAATTCTATGGTATGGTACAAAATTGCCATACATTTTTTTTCTAAAAATCAATTTTGTTAAAAATGTGATACAAACACACATACCTCCCTCTATAAGAAACACTCAACTGGAAGAAGTATCATAAATGTTCGGCCAATTTAGTTTTCTTTATTATTTCTAAATAATTTAGTTTTCTCTTTATAAAGAAAAAATTCATTTTTTCATAAGGGTGAATCACTCCCTAAACTTTCGATTGGGCAGGTATAAAAAAATACGTGTACCTTAAATTTGTATACTTTATAACATATTTCAAGGAAAATCAAATAGGTGTCGGACTCTTGTGATGGTTCCCTTGTTAGTCTAATCTATGAGTTTTAAAATTTGTCGACCTATGTAATTAATCCATTGTAAATCTGAATTAAAATACACTAATAAAAAAAATTAGAGGAATGCTTAAATTTTCCTTAAAAAATAGTTAAAATTCAATCAGCTGTAACTTCGTTAAAAATGAACGAAATTCAAATTTCAAAAAAGGTTTTATGTTTGAAATCTCTACTTTATATAAATAAGCTCCCAATTTTTTAAAATTTCTGTTAGTTTGATCATTTTACACGCAGAAAACTACGACTTGGATAAAATTAGAAATTTTCTGCCTACTTTGCCGACCTACGACGTGTGTAAAAAAAATTACAAAGTCTTTGGTGTTAAAGCTTGAAGTTTTTTTAAAAAAATTGTTTTTTTAAATCTTTTTGCAATACTTGTTGCAAAAGTTCGATTTTCGATTGCTGTTTAGCGTGGAAAATGGCTTATTTCTCAACGAGTGTATCTTCAATGTATGTCTTACTTTATCATACTAGTGCGAGAAAAGCATTTTTATGATTTACTTTACCACACTAGTGCGGTAATATGAGTTACTTTTTTGCACTAGTGCGTAAAAAACCTTGTTTTTGTTTTACCATTTCTCGACTGACATAACAAACTTGAACGTAACAAAGTTCATGCAAGACAAAACGTCAATTCGTTATAACCTTCATTATTCAAAAAGGATAAAATAGATAAAAGAAACGAGTGTTCACAAGACCATCTACGCCTCTAGAACTTATAGAAACAGCTGAATCTGCCACAAAGATTTTATTACCGAAAAATTGAGAGATAAATACATTACAATTAATTAATGAAAGGCTCGTATAAATTAAACAAAATTAAACAATCATATATAGTAGGCCAACTAAACGAGCAAATAAATAAGATGTAAAAATTTTTTATTAATAGTTAAATCATTAAATTAACATTCCGTTACAGAATCGATATAAATTGTAAACGTTTCGACTGCACTACAGTCTTTATCAATACATAAAAATTAAATATTAAAATATAAAGTTAGATGTTAAAAATACAAAGTTAGTTAAATATTAAAATATAAAATTGAAACGATTCTTCGCTGTTGACCAATAGATATGCAAGGCGATTGGTCTGAGATGCCAAGTTATGCGACATTTGAGCATGCTACGGATATAATACGCGAATTAAATCAATGTCAGAAAATATTAAAAAATCTTTCAACTTACATTATCGTTTTAACAAGTCCTTTTCCCCGATATTTCAAGTGTGTGTTGCGAAGTCTGAATACCAAATGTCAAAATAGAGAGCGTGATGTATTTATTTATTACCAATGTTTTTTCTAAATTATGATTCAGCAAATTTTTTAAGTATGTCAAAATAACTACTGTCTAACAATTCGGTGTCTGTATTTAAATTAATTCCATTTTTCTGTTCTTTAATGTGGATCATTTCAGATATTAGTCTTTTTTGGTAATTCTTTTCATGATCCATAATTTTAATATTGTCCCAGTCAAATGTATGTTGTTCGTTTAGAATGTGTTCCGTGATAACCGAATGTCTAGCAGAGTCTAATTTAATATTATTTTTATGTTCTTTAAGTCTCGTTCCTAACTGTCTTTTTGTCTGTCCGACATATGTGGCGTCACAATCGTTGCAATTCAATTTGTAAATAACGTTAGAATTCGTGGGGCAATTATTTTTGTCCTTTTGAACTCTTATGAAGTCATTTAATTTTTTAATGCAACGATATCCTACCACTACGTCAGGTCTTCTTATTGCTGAAGCAACTTTCTCAGATATTGATTCTATATATGGTATGACAAAATATTTAATGTTAGTATTAGTATTATTAGTATCTGTTATATTGTTATTATTAGGCTTGTTAAATTTCTTAGTTGAGAGATTTTTTAATCTGCGTTTTATTTCTGTGAAAATTAGATCAAGAGGATAACCGTTGGATAGCAAAATGTTAATAGCTTTCTCTATATTTTTTTTGTGAAATTGCGGATGTGATAGTAATAAAGCTCTATCTACCAAGTTATAAATTGTTCCTATTTTATGACAAGTCGGATGATTTGAAAAAAATGAAAGTAATCTACCTGAGAATGTCTTTTTGTGATACCAATCTAAATAAATTTTGTTATCTATTACTTTGATCATTATGTCTAAAAAGCTTATACAACGATTATCCTCCTTTTCCAATGTAAATTGTAGTCTATCGTTATAATTGTTGAATTCGTTCAAAACATATGTAATATTGTCAGCGGAAGTGCATAAAATAATGTCGTCTACATAACGGAAATAGAAAGTCATTTCGCAATTTAAATTACTAATTACTAATGTTTCCAAGTCCTGCATGACTATATCGGCAATGATCGGAGAAAGTGGGGAACCCATAGGAGTCCCATAAATTTGTTTGTAAGTTATGTTATTAAAAGTGAAAAATGTAGAAGTTAATATAAATTTTATCATACCTATGAATTCATTTTTGGGAATCTTTGTGTGTGACTCTATAAAATGCCATCTATTATTGATACCGTTTAATGCAAGATCTACGGAAACATTAGTAAATAATGAAACAACGTCCAATGAAGCTATTATGTCGGTATCTTGTATTATTTTCCCTGATAGAATGATTGATCTAATTTTCACAGAAATAAAACGCAGATTAAAAAATCTCTCAACTAAGAAATTTAACAAGCCTAATAATAACAATATAACAGATACTAATAATACTAATACTAACATTAAATATTTTGTCATACCATATATAGAATCAATATCTGAGAAAGTTGCTTCAGCAATAAGAAGACCTGACGTAGTGGTAGGATATCGTTGCATTAAAAAATTAAATGACTTCATAAGAGTTCAAAAGGACAAAAATAATTGCCCCACGAATTCTAACGTTATTTACAAATTGAATTGCAACGATTGTGACGCCACATATGTCGGACAGACAAAAAGACAGTTAGGAACGAGACTTAAAGAACATAAAAATAATATTAAATTAGACTCTGCTAGACATTCGGTTATCACGGAACACATTCTAAACGAACAACATACATTTGACTGGGACAATATTAAAATTATGGATCATGAAAAGAATTACCATAAAAGACTAATATCTGAAATGATCCACATTAAAGAACAGAAAAATGGAATTAATTTAAATACAGACACCGAATTGTTAGACAGTAGTTATTTTGACATACTTAAAAAATTTGCTGAATCATAATTTAGAAAAAACATTGGTAATAAATAAATACATCACGCTCTCTATTTTGACATTTGGTATTCAGACTTCGCAACACACACTTGAAATATCGGGGAAAAGGACTTGTTAAAACGATAATGTAAGTTGAAAGATTTTTTAATATTTTCTGACATTGATTTAATTCGCGTATTATATCCGTAGCATGCTCAAATGTCGCATAACTTGGCATCTCAGACCAATCGCCTTGCATATCTATTGGTCAACAGCGAAGAATCGTTTCAATTTTATATTTTAATATTTAACTAACTTTGTATTTTTAACATCTAACTTTATATTTTAATATTTAATTTTTATGTATTGATAAAGACTGTAGTGCAGTCGAAACGTTTACAATTTATATCGATTCTGTAACGGAATGTTAATTTAATGATTTAACTATTAATAAAAAATTTTTACATCTTATTTATTTGCTCGTTTAGTTGGCCTACTATATATGATTGTTTAATTTTGTTGAATTTATACGAGCCTTTCATTAATTAATTTTAATAAACGCTGGCCTTATAATGCGTGTGACTAATTACCCGTTTAAATACCATCGTTTTAATTCTAGTTTTATTTATAACTATTTTGGTCTAGAAACGTTAAAACATTTTAAATCTTGGC